CCTAAATTGATCACAAGAAATGTCAGAAGATAAATGGAGATGATTATATATCTGTCAATTTCTTAAGAACGTCAATCACATGTGTATATTCTGAACCATGTAACTATTTGACAGAATTAAAACTTGGTTGGGTGAAACCATGGCACTGACAGCTGTCTATTGATTCAAAATATTTGTTCTTTGATTGAACTTGGAATGTTATTTCATTTTGATACCATGTAGCGACATTACAATTGTATGTAGATTATGTAAAGTTACTTAAACAGCTGATCCTATCATATCAATAGATTTTCATTGCACATCGACTCCAACAAATTTTACATTCATGCCAGCCATTTGTCACATTAAAACTAGACAAGTGACCATTCAAGCTGGTAAACAAGGAAATTAAAATATTTAGAATCCATTGTATTCATAGTGGACAATGGTCAGTCTAACACTAGTCATCAAATTTTATGGGGCAGTGATATGTATATATAAATGTGTAATAGAGGAAGTTGTAATAGGACTCTTGTCAACCTCTGAATACCAGGGACATATGTGATTGTAACTTGTGTGGTCACAGTCTGTAGTAGATATACACTCCGAGAAGGTCCTATAAGGAATACAGTTGTGAGAAATTTATACATCTTCTTGGCTGGACTTTTGGACATTATCTACAGGTATGGTTTAATCAATTAGTAATGTAAGGTATGGTCTAGTCAATTAGTAATCTACAGGTATGGTCAAGTAATCTACAGGTATGGTCTAGTAATCTACAGGTATGGTCTAGTCAATTAGTAATCTACAGGTATGGTCAAGTAATCTACAGGTATGGTCAAGTAATCTAAAGGTATGGTCTAGTAATATACAGGTATGGTCTACAGGTATGGTTTAGTCAATTAGTTATCTACAGGTATGGTTTAGTAATCTACAGGTATGGTCTAGTAATCTACAGGTATGGTCTAGTCAATTAGTAATCTACAGGTATGGTCAAGTAATCTACAGGTATGGTCAAGTAATCTAAAGGTATGGTCTAGTAATATACAGGTATGGTCTACAGGTATGGTTTAGTCAATTAGTTATCTACAGGTATGGTCTAGTAATCTACAGGTATGGTCTACAGGTATAGTCTAGTTGAATCTACAGGTATGGTCTAGTCAATAAGTAATCTACAGGTATGGTCTAGTTGAATCTGCAGGCATGGTCTAGTAATCTACAGGTATGGTATAGTAATCCTCAGGTATGGTCAAATAATCTGCAGGTATGTTCTAGTTGAATCTATAGGTATGGTTTAGTCAATTAGTTATCTACAGGTATGGTTTAGTCAATTAGTTATCTACAGGTATGGTCTAGTAATCTACAGGTATGGTCTAGTCAATTAGTTATCTACAGGTATGGTTTAGTCAATTAGTTATCTACAGGTATGGTTTAGTCAATTAGTTATCTACAGGTATGGTTTAGTCAATTAGTTATCTACAGGTATGGTCTAGTAATCTACAGGTTTATCTTAACATATGGCAGTCAAAGTCTCTACTTTTATTTACCAGAACAGATGTTATAGTATCACCACAGGAAACTAGTGTTTGTCATGCTTGTAACGATCAATGGATACCCCCTAGGGCTCAGACTTGTTTCAAGTACATTTATGAAATATTACTGTTGTCAAAAACCAATATCATATTCCCTAAAAATGGAAAAAATGTAACCTGATCTGAAAATGTTTTGACACTTTGAAGTATGTCTGGTTTACAGATTTTGAGAAACATAGAATTTGCTTTGTATATTTTGTAACCCAAGTAAATACTAGCCACACTATACCACTCGGCTAGAGCGAACTTCCCTTTAGCTTGATCTGTTCAGTGTCAGCTTCTACTTCGAATACTTGCGGAGACATTGAAATAGATATTTATCTCTCTTACAATGGTGCTCAATGTGGTTCTTCAGAAATAATACTTAGCATTGTCCCACAGACATCGCTGTTACCCCTGGAAACTCAGGGACAAGTTACTTCCTGGAGTGGGTGTATGTAACCCTTGGTAAATACTAGCCATAATACACTGCTTGGCTGGAGAGAACTTCTCTTTAGCTCGATCTGTTGATTGTCAGACTAGTAAGCCAGAGGTCCTGGGTTCAAATCCTAGAAGAGGCATTGAAATAAATATTAATCACTGTTTCAATATTTTCAAAAAATTCATAAATAATATCAATTAACATTCTAAAAAGAAGAAAATTAATTGAAATATACAGAAATATTTTATTAATCTGACAATGCTTCAACACAATATCCTAAGATTATAGAATCAGGCCAGGGTTGTATCTGTCCAGAGCATGACTTAGTCACCTCTAATATATTTTCACAAATTTTGAAATTGATTTTTTGATGTCCTTGTTTTCTCATGGTCGGGAGTGGAGGGGTAGTTTTACCCAGGATTGCGTGTCTTTCATTTCAGTTAATTTAATCTTCAAGGGATACAGATATTAAACTAATTTGGTACATATATATGTAGTTGTGTAATGATATGGTTATAATCCATTACTTTGTTTCCAGACTTACTGGTAATTTTTGTTTTTGAACCTTAATGGTTTAATTAAAATTTTACCAAAATCGGTAAGACCATTATTGGAGAGCTATTTCAAAACTCCAGTGGGAATTTATAAAGAAAAATTGTATTAAGCCAAAACTTCTGTTTTATTTCTTGAGTACATTTCTTAATTCATCTCTTATGATTTTGATAATTATCTGCAGATAAGATAATTATCTGAATTCAGTTCCAAACTACCAGGTAAATAATGAAGAATGTGTTAGGTGCTGTAAATGGTTTAAACATTATTTGTCATAGACATCTATGATATTGGTGTGATTTGTAGATATTCTGTTTAGAGCAATGGTGATTTGACAATATTTTTAAAAACATGTTCAAATAGATTCTCTTTGTCAGCGATAGATCAAGTATACGTAGAAGATCATAGGAATGATTGTTGCCATGAAACACAGTTTATGTCCCAATTAACTTCCATTTCACGGTCAATTTGTTTTCATGGTCAGCGAATTTCATTGAAAGGTCTTCAGTTCCAGATTGAACTCCAATTTTAATGTAAGGTAGTTGGACTATTGACCTTTTATGGTCAGACAATGGCCGTCACTAGTCTAGTTTAGTGTATGAATGGCTAATTGCTGAACTTTTCTACCACAAACTTTCTGATATATGTTTCAACATGACGTGAATGTTTAGGTTAACAAAGTTATGTGTTAAAAAGGTAAGCAAGCTTTTAATAACATATATATTGGTTCTTATTGAAACTGCAAAGGATATCTAAATGTCTTTATACTTAGAATTGGGGAATTCCTTGTAAAGCTTTGTTTTAAATTGAAACTGAATGTAGTTTAGGATAGCAGTGAAATTGATAATTAGGCAAAGAACTAGTATTTATCACCCAGAAAATTGTGTGTACTTAATGTTAAATTTGATACAAAGGCATAAAAATTTAATATTCTAATGCCTGGGGTAACAACTTAGTCTACATATGAACAAAAGAAGGCACTGATGATTACAATCTATATCTGTTTCAATGTGACCATATTTTGTATGATCATAAATGAAGCACATCTTATACAATGTCAGTTAAATGTCTACGTAGGTAACCTTGTGAGGTGAAGATTTGAAGTGCATGGTTTTAACGTCTTCTATCTGTGGTAGTTTGTGTTTTTAAGTCTCATGGTGACCTATTGTGGTCGACTACGACGTCAGTTAAATGCCAGTCCACGTAGGTAACCTTGAGAGGTGAAGATCTGAAGTGCATGGTTTTAACGTTTTCTATCTGTGGTAGTTTGTGTTTCAAAGTCTCATGGTGACCTATTGTGGTCGACTACGATGTCATGCATCCATAAACAATTTAACATTTTTTTAACAAAATAAAACCCTGAACCGATTTGAATTAAACTTTGCAGAAACCTTCACTGACCTAAGATGAACCAAAATAGTAAATTATGCAGTCCCCACCCCACAACGGGCTAAGGGCTGGGCCAAAAGAGGTCAAATTGACTTAGATTTCACAAAATCTTCTTCTTAACACCCAGATACAGTAGAATCAAATACTCTTCATGGATGGAAGCATCTTAAGGTGCTTTACCACAATTGTTAATTTCATGGTCTCAGGGTCTCACATTTCCCCGTGGAGAGGGGGTAATGTTTACTATAGTTTTTATAGGAAAAATAAATTTTTGAGCATGATTTATTAGATTTCCATCGGAAATATTTCAAACTTAGTTATAATTATGAGCAAAGGATGACGACTAGATAGCATGCATATATTGATCCTGACTGACCCCCAGTGGCCGATAAGTGGGGTCAAAAGGGGTCAAATTGACTTCGATTTCAAAAATCTTCTTCTCAACACCAAGGTTTGGTAGAATCAAATGCTGTGTATGGATGGAAGCATCTTCAGGTGCTTTAATTACCAAAATGGGTCTTATATTTTCTTCTGGGGATAATGTTAAGTTTATTGTAATTAAAAAAAAAAATAGGGTTTTTGAGCATAATGTTGTTTATTTCCCACTGAAAAAAAAACTTTGTAAGCATTATTAGGATAGGATGACAGTTTTGATGGTATGCATGTTTTGACACTGGCTTACTATCATCAATGTCACAATTTCTATCTCATGACACTTGAAAGCTACTTACCCTTTAACCTTTATAATCGAATATTGCTTATCTCAGGTGACTGTCAAGACTGCTAGATCTCTTGTTGAAAATTTGGGCATCTTATTGCAGTAAAGTAAGAAGTGGAAAGCTAATTAAGTGACATATACATCCTATCTGTATATATATTTATGTGTAACCAGCAGTAAATCTGACTCCTTGTACAGTTGTATGACATGTCCAACAGGTGTCGTTTTAGACAGGTTAAGCTGTACATGGCACAATCATGATTTATTGTTCAATGAAATTTTCAGTAGGATTAATAAGTAGTTCTCTGATGAAGTTAGATTTAGGAAGTTGTTATTTTTCTTATTGCAGGTAAAGAAAATTGGTTTGAGCTCTGCGCACTGTAGTGGCAGGGACGTGACGGAAGTACATGACTATTGCGGGTCTGCGTGCGGCTGGTCTGTGTATCGTCTGGATGAACATCATACACCTAGTTACCTCACAGCGTGAAGCCTCACCCACCCTCAAGCGCCTTCAGGAAGAATGCTCACCACCCGGGAGCTCAAAATGTCCCATCACAGTTTCCAAAAGCGAGCTCAAGGAGAGGCTGACTCCCACGCAATACCGCGTCACTCAGCAACGAGGGACAGAAAGGTACTATGCTTGTCAATAAATTTGTTAACATTTCGTTTTGGGATGAAAACTTTCCTAAACATCAAGGTCTTTTATCACTGACTTACATCATGATAATTAGGACCCCACACAAAAGTGCCCTATAGTAATCCTGGTGTCCATCCAGGCTTCTGTCCGTTCGTCAGCACTTTAGTTTCCAATGCGATAACTTGAGTTTCCTTGAGCTGATCAAGCTCAATCTTCATACAGTGCTTCCTTATTGAAAGTGATTGTACGGAATTGCTTTTCAGCTTCAAAGGTCAAAACTCAAGATCACTGTAACTATAAATAGAGAATCAGTATTCGTGTAAAAAACAGGGTGTGCTTTGGCTAATCTATCCCAAACTTCATACAAAATTTCCTTACTGAAAGTGTTTGCTTAGGATTGCTTTACAAGTTTGAAGGTCAAAGGTCAAGGTCACTGTTACTATGAATAGAAAAATCAGTTTCCCAACGATAACTCCAATGCTTTGCCCAATCAATCACAACCACCATACAATGTTTCTGAATAGCTTTTTAATATTGAAAGTCAAAAGTCAAGGTCACTGTGACTCTTGCTGACCTGTCAATGTTATAGTTTGTTTTTATCATTGTAAGACCTATCAAGAAAGTGACATATACATAAAGTTTATCAAATTTTCAGTGACTTTTACTTAGGAACCACAAACCCTGAAGCCAAATGGTTTTGGCATTGAGACTAACCTGGATTGGAAGAAAGTGTATTTTAAGATATATTAAGGTATTTTGAGGTCATCACTTTGAGAAGACTAGTTTACAGTTATAATGAACTCAAATTAATATTCATCTTTGCCTACCAAGGAATACAGTGCAGCACCTTCCTCTGGCTAATGAAAATTATTAATATTTGGCATATTTTTTCTGCCTATGTTATCACTTAGAGTCTGTATGCTAATTATTACACAGGAATCCCACTATTAGCTTAAGATGTAGGTCTGTAAATAAATTCAATAAGTCCATTGCACTTAAGATAAATACCGACAATTTTATTAGTTTTTGTTTGGTCTTATAAAATTCTCTACTTAATTTGTCATAGTTTTCATGGTGGTACATAGAGATTTTTCTAGGATAGATATATGTAATGTAAGTGAAAAACATAATATATCTAGATGTATTTTTTAGGTACAGTACGAAAAAATTTGTATGTACATGTAGGTCCAAATATATGTACAATCTTTCATCTTTTTAAGCATTCTGCTCCTTTTCCATGACAAAATAATTACTGTCAGTACTTCTCTGTAAGATTTTCCGATGAACTTTATAGACCTGTTTAGCTGCTTGTGGAATGAAGAGAAGTTAATACGTTTTCCACAGAATATCATCCTAGGCACTGTTCACGCTTGATCAATCATATAAAAAGGTTTAAATAAAAGATGAATCCCGCCCATTTCTGTTCTAGAGTCCACAATTTGTGATGAGATACACAGGCAATAAATACACAGTATGAATAAATAGACACGTCGAAACATTTATTTGATAAAAGCTGTGATGGAGGAAAATGTCGAAAAACAAAAATGGCCGATCTCAGCTGTTGTTGTTAAGTCATCCATGCCTTTTATCATGCTGGGAATTGTATGAAATAGATAATAAAATAAGAGTTGATTGTCTCATACATTTTCAGATCAAACTCTAAATTTTTGAGTCACATTCGTCATATTTCATTTACTGGTTAATGTAGATACGTGTACATGTGTATTTGCCTACATTCAGTTTTTGAAAGAATTAAATATCTACATGAACAGGATGTTGTGTTACATAGATATCAAAATTTTTCTATCATTAATAGGATTCCGAAACTGAAACATTCAGTCAAACAAAATGTTCAGTTTCTTCAGCAATACATTTACATCTGTATAGTGAAAGAGACTACCGGGTAAATAGTTTTGAACTTCTGTCTACATAGCACCGGGGTGACTAATTTTCTTTTTTCCGAACCTTCCGACTATTGATTAAATACATGCTGTAAGTTATGGTGAATTAAATGCTATGTTTTTATAATATCAATGGTCTACCATATATGCATGTCACAATTGAATTGTCTTAATCATGAAAAATAAGACAAGTGGTCACACTGCATGAAAATGTAAAAATTGATGATGTAGCCTTAATGGTTGTGAGTTCAGGTGATATTTTAAGATTTACAGTCGCCTTGTGAAAGGATGCCAACTCAAACCTACATGTATTTGTATCCCATGTAGGGGGTGGCACAATGGTAATGGCTTTTTACTTAGCCTTCTAGGATTCAGTTCACCTAACGTACGTGAAAAGGTAAACAGTTACTTGTATGGGTTTTGTGTAGGTAATACTGGATTCTACCCACAGCAGGACTTCCTTTGATAAGTTATAAGTTAAAATAACTTGTTTTGCAATTGTTGTTAAGGAAATTAATTAATAATAACACCCATTTTGTTTTGAATTACAGAGCATTCTCGGGGAAGTACTATAAACACAGTGATCAGGGGCTCTACCACTGTGTTGTATGTGGAAACCCCCTGTTTGACTCCGATACAAAGTTTGACTCCAAATCTGGGTGGCCTTCATTCTCTGATGTCTCCAAGAGTGACAGCGTAAAACTGATGACGGATATGTCACAGGGTAAATATATATAGTGTGCATCATCTAAAGCCTCACATTTAGTCTATGTCATCTGGGGACTCACACTTAGTCTATATCATCTGGGACCTCACACTTAGTCTATATCATCTAGGACCTCACACTTTCTTTAGTCTATATCATCTGGGGCCTCACACTTAGTCTATATCATCTGGGGCCTCACACTTAGTCTGTATCATCTGGGGCCTCACATTTAGTCAATATCATCTGGGGCCTCATACTTAGTCTGTATCATCTGGGGCCTCACATTTAGTCTATATCATCTGGGGCCTCGCACTTAGTCTATATCATCTGGAGCCTCACACTAGCCTGTATCACCTGGGGCCTCACACTTAGTCGATATGATCTGGAGCCTCACATTTAGTCTATATCATCTGGGGCTTCACACTTAGTCTATATCATCTGGAGCCTCACACTTAGTCTGTATCATCTGGGGCCTCACACTTAGTCTGTATCATCTGGAGCCTCACATTTAGTCTATATCATCTGGAGCCTTACACTTATTCTGTATCATCTGGAGCCTCACATTAGTCTATATCATCTGGAGCCTCACACTTAGTCTATATCATCTGGAGCCTCACATTAAGTCTATATCATCTGGAACCTCACCCTTAGTCTATATCATCTGGGGCTTCACATTTAGTCTATATCATCTGGAGCTTCACATTTAGTCTATATCATCTGGAGCCTCACACTTAGTCTACATCATCTGGAGCCTCACATTTAGTCTATATCATCTGAGACCTCACACTCAGTCTATATCATCTGGAGCCTCACACTTAGTCTATATCATCTGGGGCCTCACACTTAGTCTATATCATCTGGGACCTCACACTTAGTCTATATCATCTACAGTGTCACATTTAGTCTATATCATCTGGGGCCTGACACTTAGTGTAATAATCCCATCCCCATATATTACAGTTTCAACAGAAATTTGCACAGATATCATATCATTGTCCTGTAATAAGCTGTCCTCCCCACCCCTAATTCAACTCAGTGGTAATGTGTTGCCTCCCTTTGCTATGACAGGATAATAATACACAAAATTAAAGATGGTTTATAGCTACCAGTAGGAATGTCATAGTGTAGAGAACAGTACAATTACCATGTAAAATCTGAAGTAATATTTCTAGGCTTTGAAGGCCTCTGTTGTCAGTGATATATACGTTTAAAACTTGACACTCAAAAGTTTTTTAATTCATGATGATTATGATAGCCTGTTGAAATAAGACTATTGATTAAAGAGTTACCAAGAGGCCTGTTTTCAAATCCATCTGACTACTATCTTCAATAGATTAGGTAGAACTCCACATGGATTCAGTATGTCAATGGTAGGGTCCCTTTACTATCTTTGATAGAAGTGGTACCGGTCAGATTGATTGATGTAGAAATCTAAAGATCATTGAAAATGCCCCTATTGGGACAGTGCTAATTGGTCTCTGTAGATCTGTGAATGTATCCCTTTACTGTGTTTGATAGGTTAGGTACAGGTCTGATTGGTTTCTGTAGATCTGTGAAGGTGTTCCCTTTACTGTGTTTGATAGGTTAGGTACAGGTCTGATTGGTTTCTGTAGATCTGTGAATGTGTCCCTTTACTGTGTTTGATAGGTTAGGTACAGGTCTGATTGGTTTCTGTAGATCTGTGAAGGTGTTCCCTTTACTGTGTTTGATAGGTTAGGTACAGGTCTGATTGGTTTCTGTAGATCTGTGAATGTGTCCCTTTACTGTGTTTGATAGGTTAGGTACAGGTCTGATTGGTTTCTGTAGATCTGTGAAGGTGTTCCCTTTACTGTGTTTGATAGGTTAGGTACAGGTCTGATTGGTTTCTGTAGATCTGTGAATGTGTCCCTTTACTGTGTTTGATAGGTTAGGTACAGGTCTGATTGGTTTCTGTAGATCTGTAAAGGTGTCCCTTAATTGTGTTTGATAGGTATGGAACGAGTTGAAGTGACTTGTGCTAGGTGTGGTGCCCATCTCGGTCATGTGTTCAATGACGGACCAACAGAAACTGGCCTTCGTTACTGTATTAACTCTGCATCCCTTGACTTTACTCCAGCTCGCAAGTCTCCGAAGACTGAAGCCTATAAATCAGAGCTCTGATATGTGTCCTTAATTTTGATTTCAACTCGGATAACATAAATCTTTTTGTAAAATGATTTGAAAATTAATTGAAATCAATAGTGATTAAATTAAAGAAGAAATTAACAAAGAGCTCATTTGTTATTTTCAATTCAAATAAAACTTATTACAATGGAATCTTGCGTTGTTATTCATATCTGTCTGATAGATTAGCTTTATGGAGACTTTATATACAACTAACTATGTAACCTCATAGCAAAGGGAGATAAGTCAAAAATATTTACACATATATATGCTGTATTACCTTAATGTACCTATGTAACAGTATAGAGTTATAACTACATATAAAATATAGCTGGTACTTTTTACTTATTAGACATATTGGTGGGTAAACTGTATAAATTACATCTAAATTTTATAAAAGCTCACCACGTGTGGCAATTTGGCCTTTGTTTACATGTGTATGGTAGTGTAAGAAAAATGGTCTTGAAATAAAACACTTTTGAAAGGAGATGATAAATAAGTAAGACCAGCACATCAATCCGGGCCATCAAGAAAGAATAGTTTCACTTATAAGTTTGTTCCGCAATTGGTTTAAAATTGATAAAGTTGATATAATAATTGTTTGTCTTTTTCACAAGTTCATATAACAGCATCGCTTCACTTCCATCCATTGAAATATGTGTGGTTTATGAAAACAGTTTCTTTCCTTTTCTTGCAAATTAAATTGTCATATTTACTTCATAACAAAGTCTTGAACCACATTTCTAGTCCTCTCTGTTTTTGTCTTGTTTGAACACAAATCCTGAAACAACAAACATTTATATTTTAATATCAGACTTAGAAATTTATTTCTGCCTTACACCATGTACTTTTTACATACACAGTAATGTATTTTAGATCACAGATTATACATATAAACAAAAGGTTGACCAAAGGTTTTTACTTTAATAGTTATATGTAGGTCAACATAAGTTATATCTAGGTCAACATAAATGTATGTAGGTCAACATAAGTTATATATAGGTCAACGTGGGTTTTATGTAGGTCAACATAAGTTATATGTAGGTCAACAGAAGTTATATGTAAGTCAACAGAAGTTTTATGTAGATCAACATAAGTTATATGTAGGTCAACAGAAGTTTTATGTAGATCAACATATGTTATATGTAGGTAAACATAAATTATATATAATAATCATATATATAGAAAACATAGTTACATTCAATTTTGTATCCAGTTTATCAAATTTCATTTAGAAATTAATATTCCTCATCTGTGATTGTCCTTGCTTTGCCTTTCTATCACAGTAAATTTCAAATGGACATTGTCGATGATTGTTACAAAAGAATTAAGTAAAATCAAAATTTAGGTATTAGAAATTTGCTGTGTTTATAGTTGTGTCAACAAGAACATTGAAAATAATTTACAAATATTTTGAAATAAAGTGCAGACATGGTACAGATGTATGATGATGGTATATTGATTCTACGTATGGGAGAATACTTAGTACAGAAAGACAGGACTTAGACACTAATTTTCTTTAGAGCCTGGTATATGAATATATATATATTTTTTTAAACGCAGGTCAGCGAAGGATCGAGGCGATGTGTAGTAAGTGTGGTGCTCACCTCGGACATGTTTTTGATGACGGACCGAAACCCTCGTGTGTCCGGTACTGTGTCAACTCGGCCTCACTTGACTTCAAAAAACACACGACCGTTTGACAGCTGCTGGCAAGACACCAATAATCTCATGTGTTTCTTCGACTTCAGGGAATAGTGTTTCATTTGATTGCCCATCTCCAAATGGCATAGATTAATTGTGGGGGGAAAAAAACCAAATTTCAATATTTGTACATGTACTTGATTGAGGTAGTATATTTATGCTGAAGAATCTTATGAAGACTGTTATGCAATGTGTGTCCAAATATGAAAACAATATAGATAGAATAGATTTATCGCCCAAAGAAGTCACTGTGATTTAGCATAATTATTTGAATATGATACACTGCAGTGGTGAATACATATAACAAGGACCACTGGTGAATACCAAAATTGTTGTACACTTAGGAAATACTGTAACGACAATGTTTGTAGGTTTTATGAAGTAGTAAACATATTTTGTATAGTGAATTTATATTGCTTCACAATAATTTCACAATTTGGTGTCAAAATTTCGATATCCATTTTTAGACAAGTCAATTTATTTTTGCCATTAAAGAATGGGAATAGAAAAATTACACAATGCAAATCTTGCTCTTTAAAGATTTTCGATTTCTATCCTATGGTGCAATCTATCCTCTGGCAAATGATGTTTATTTTTTGGTGGGTTGTTTACAGGTAGATATGTGTAATTAATTAAACTATACCGATACATTAATGTGCCAATCTCCTGAAATTTGCTGAGACTTCAACTTGATTGTTGCAAAATGTTTCAGTTCAAAGTTTCGCTAAAATTATCTTAAGGACCTTAATACATTTTGTATAAATAGTAATGTTTATGAGAAAAGAAGACCTGTCTTTGAAGTTTACAACTACATGTAGTGAAGATTGCACTGTACTTAGAATATTCTTTTGAAATTTTTCAGGTGTGATATTATCAATATTTGAATTATTAAATGTGTGAAAATTATTGTGAGTGTACAAATACGGCTTTGAATTGTGTATAAAACTTTGGTATTGAATTATTAAAAAAATCTTAGAGTGTAAAAATTATGCAAATGTTCACAGTTACCAGTAAGTACTAGTAGAACAGTTGTGTAACACCTGAATGTTAGAACTTAGTCCTTTTAAACTATACCAATGTACTACGTTTATACTAGAAGTTTTTGCTGTAAAATCATGTATTTCTAGAAGCTCAATTTTGAAAAAAAATAATTTCTTGGATAAAAACAATTTTTTAAAATTTGACTTAAATTTACATGTACAAATTTTAATAGTTCATGTACAAATTAGATTTCAGATTCCTCTAAATTGTATATATATTGTACCTAGGAAATCAACAAAAATTAGTCCCCCACAAAAATGGATTATTCTACAGTAAATTGATAATGAAAATCTAAAAATCAATATGCATGATATATTTCTTGTTAATAACACTCTATTGAATCTAAAGTGGTTAGAGTTTTAATTTCACTTTTCTGAAAGTCAACATATATCTAAATATCTGTTAGAAAATTTTTATTTCCAATTTTGATTTTTGTTTCGGAATAGATATATGGGACGACAATTGTCATACTGCTGATAATATTGATGGTACATACAGATTCCTTTTGTATTTATGGAAAATCATAATTTCACATACTTTTTTGTGTACATGTACTGTAAAGTATCTGTAATCATGTAACTATTTTAGTACACATATTCAAACTTCATAAAATACATTGAGTGAAAAATGCATGAATTCTGATATATACATTTTCTCTTTCATTGAGAGTTAATGGAGCGTGATATTCTTTTTATTGGTAAAATTGTAAGTTTTTCAATACTACATGTTGATAAAATAATTAAGAGTAGAAGTTTCAAAAAGAATTTATCTCACAATTTAATCACTGAACATGTTGATAAACGTTTATAATTATAACATAGCCATGATTTCTGGATTTCAGATATTTCTGCTTTGTTTTCCTAATATGTCAAAAACAATGACAAGCTGTCATAAATATTTTCTGACATGAAACCATATTTTGCTGTAATGGTTACTTTTGAAAGAAGTGTTTTAACAAGTAGTCAGTATATTACCTATTCGATCTTCATATAATAAGTTAAGCATGTGCTCACAATATTAATGAGTTAAATGGTTTGATATAAGTTTTGTCCGCAGGTAGTCCGAATTAGTCTGACATTTTATCAGCTTTTGTTTATCGGTCTGTCAGCAAGGGCCATTATAAGCTGAATTCGGTAGAATGGTAGAATAATTCAGACAAGCCTGCAAGTACATTGTAAACGTAGTGATGAGAATACGAACATAGTAACGTAATAGAATTGTGATAAGAAAAAATTGGGTTACACTGGAGTGTAACAATAGGTGCTAAGTTACACTGTTAGTTCAGTGTAACAAGTGTATAATGGCAATTGTAGAGTGAGTTTAGTAATTACACCGTATAATTACAATGTAAATACGATTTCAGTGATAATTTTATTACTGTATGTAATAAAATTGTCATAGATTAATGTATTAGTTAGAATGTTATTGAAATAATCTTAGTTTCAATTTAATTGATGTATTAATTAAATTGTAACTAATGTGTTGTTATAGTGTAATTAACATGTCAGTTACAATGTAATTAGGAAGTTTTCTAACAATGTAATTGATTTTTCAGTTAAAGTGATTATTACATAGTAATTATTCAGTATTTTGTTGTATTTAAAATAATTTATGAAATAAGTTCTAGAAATATTATTGTGGTCACAGGGACTTGGCACTTGTTTCCGACCTTTGGTCCATATATATGTGTTGCAGTTGCAATAATACATGCATATGGTTCGTTGGTTAGGAAGTTGTGACAAGTCCCTGTGATTAGTGTATGTCTTGTTGGTCTTGATTAAAATGGGAAGTATCTTTAATGTTCTTTGAAAATTAAGATAGGAAAAAATTAATATTAAGTTTTAAGTGGCTTTCAGAATAAAATGAATTCAGTAAGAAACTGAAGGCACAAATTGATATAGGGGTTGATTTCTGTGTAAGAAATATGACTACATGTAAATTTCTATGTTGCTGTATAAGGGTCAAGCTTTTCGTCCCTGACATCACAATAAACTTGGAGTGTAATTATACTGTTTGGCAGTAAGTCTGAAGTACTTTCAGAAATTTTGATTCTCCTGATATTTGGGGGAAAAAAAAAGAAAATCCAGATAAAACACACATTACAAAGGGAAGTAACTCTTAGATGGAAACCATTGCTTTGACTTCTTCATATTTGTTTCATGCGATTGAAGAAGAAAAATCTTTTCTTAGAACTTGATCTTCAAGCATGACCTGGTAATTTGTAACATGTTAAGCTGCTCCTGAAAAACAGGATTTTTTTTTATTGGTTGCCACAATCATATCAGTCACACAAAAATGTGCATATGTTTACATATTAGCAATATAAAAATGGTAACTATGGAAACCCATAATACCTTTAACATTTCTACAGAAATGTCTTTAAGTTTAGTAAAAATGTACTACATTGTGAATATTTATTTAGAGCTCAGTTTGTGTTCTATCTAAAATGAAAAATATTTTTATATTTTTTTTTCAGGTCATTCTAGAAATCCAAATTTGAATATGAAACTATCTTATGTGTACATATATTTATAAATGTAAACAATTTTGGAATTTTTTTCTTGAATATCTGCACTTTTCATTAAGTTTTCATTGTTTTCATTATGTAGTTTTTCTTTTAATATAAAATATCTCTGATCTATCTATATTTTATAGAATTTTTTTTTTTTAATCTTTAAACTGTCTTTTTACTAAAATTGAAAAATGAAGATATCTTTAAATACAAATGTCTCATCACACTTTGTGCCATACTTTTTACTTCATATACCACACATTATTATGTCAAGTACATGTATGTAGGTATATTACTAAATTTTTTTAGACAATTTACTTTAATGCTAGTATAGAGACTTCTGAAATAGATTTTAGGTAAATCTATGTAGAAAGTAACCTAACAATAGAGCTGACTTAAATTGTTATATTTTGAAATACTGAAATATTTTTTCTGGTATTTCCTTATCATCAACTTAAGCACATGAATTTGAAGGAAAGAAAATTCTTCATAGGTGAAGGTCAATACCTGGTATGCACTTGTGTATGGTCAGAGCCTGATTTAGAGACCTATAGTTTCCTATGTTAAATTTTTCCTCGTAACATGCATCATCTGAATTTTTGATCTTTACTATTTTTTACAAAGATTTTGTCTGTACCGTTATCTTGTATGTGCAATAGTTGTAAAGGAGAGAAATTTATTTTTTTAATCATTGATTATGACTTTCTAGTTACTCTCTTTAAAGTGTGCAATAAATTGGGATAATAACTTAGTTAATTAAAAATAACAGTAATTATGAATTAATTAATAATCACAAAAAGTTGATTTATGGACAACAGCAACTGATTTTGTGTTCTTTTCAAATTTTCAAAATTATTTCATATACATTGTACATATTGGCATAATTCAATTCTGGTATATTTTTTTCTACTTTTTTTTTTTTGTTGGGGTTGGGGGAATGGGGGAGGGGTCACAAAATTTCAGCTATAAGGAACAAAAAAAATTTCATAATGTTTGTCTTCAATGTTTCAAGCAAATATTCTAATTTTGGCAAGTTGATATTTCCATGAAATTACCTTTTTTTTCTTCTGAGAATGAGATTTAACATTCAACTTGAAAACTTTTTTACATATAGGGTCACGCCTGCAGGGTTTGCAGTATGTTACCAGTAGATAATCTTGTATATGGTATTTCACATCAATCGTTACATCAAAGTGGTTTAAACTTGACTTGTGACCCTGAGTATATGTGGTGCCATCTAGTGGCTACTAATGTATTCAAAATGCATCTAACTTAATAGTTTGCATGAAATGTATTTTAAAGTATAAAACACAAACTTATGCATGTTTTTATTGGGCGAGTGTATTAATGAGTGTGCCTTGCAGTCACATCAGCATTTTAAATGTCATGCCATCAATGTATTTTCTGATAAACTTAGGTTATTTGATAACTTTTAGCTTCCTTTTCCACTTTCTTAGGAATTGTTACTTCAAAATATGGGGGAAGATTTTTGAAATCCTACTGGGATTTAAAGAAAGGCCAAATCATCAAGCCAAATGGATGTATTAATTATGTATGTGCATTTGTGCCATTGAAAACAAAGGAGATCATTTTCCAAATCTCTGCTACATTTAAATTTGTCCCCTGCAATATGATATCTTATTTTGTAGTGAAGAATACCTGGGTGATATTTCAGGTTAAAGAATTTCAATATTAAACATTGAAAACCATTCATCAACTTTATTTTTCTCCATTTCAAACAAGGGAAGTAACTCTTGTCACCCTGTAGTCTAGTCGTCATAGTAACCTATATATTTCAAGTTAATTTTCTGTTATATCTCCTTCCCTGGTAAGCACTTAGTATTTGCCTTCTGATCTCGCTTGCTTTTATTGAAAATATCTATACTCGTTACTGTGAAAATGGAATTTTTTGAGAGCGAAAATTTTTTGCTACACTCTATGTAGTGTCAAAGTTTTCACCTTTGCAGAGAGGCTACATCATGAATTGCATTATGCCGCTGTTCGCTAATGCATCTGCAGATGAAACTTCTTCCATCACGAAAAACTCCACTTTCACAACACAAAAATTTTATTTCTTGTTTTTGTTTTTTTGTTTGCACCCTATTTGTTGTGAATATATTGTACATATCATAGTCTTAAATACCATAGTTTTTTCAATTTATGCAAATATTTCTTATATGTAGAGTTTTTATTTTTTCCTCATGTTCTGCCATTATTGTTTTGAATTGAATTTTCCTTTGTTTAAATCATCAATATTTAATTTTTTTAAACACAATGGATCTTGAGTAGATTTGCCTATTAATGAGTACATAGGTCAAACGACTGTGAATATTGTATATGTATGTAGGTCTGATTGCTATTAACACTTTACTTAACTGCACAGCTACTGGCCTTGTCTGTCAACACACTCCTGAACTTTAATGGGTGTAATCACAGGCAAGAAAGTACCTGTGATTAAAGACAAAATTCAGATAGAAAAATCGTCCATCCCTATTTTTTTTTTTTTTTTTTTTGTCAAAATACTTCTTTGAATTCAAAAACCAATTAAAAAATAAGATACTTTTTCCAGATAATTGCAAGTTTGCAATTTTTTCAA